TCTGCAATACATCTACCGCTATCTCTGCAACACCTCTACTGCTATATATGCAATACGTCTACTGCTATCTCTGCAATACCTCTACCGCTATCTCTGCAATACTTCTACCGCTATCTCTGCAATACATCTACCGCTATCTCTGCAATACCTCTACCACAATCTCTGCAATACCTCTACCGCTATCACTGCAATACTTCTACAACTATCTCTGCAATACCTCTACCGCTATCTCTGCAATACCTCTACCGCTATCTCTGCAATACCTCTATTACTATCTCTGCCATACCTCTACCGCTATCTCTGCAAAGCTCTACCGCTATCTCTGCAATACCTCTACTGCTATCTTTCCAATACCTCTACCGCTATCTCTGGAATATCTTTACCGCTATCTCTGCAATACCTCTACCGCTATCTCTGCAATACCTCTACCGCTATCTCTGCAATACCTCTACCGCTATCTCTGCAATACTTCTACCACTATCTCTGCAATACCTCTACCACTATCTTGCAATACCTCTACCGCTATCTATGCAATACCTTTACCGCTATATCTGAAAAACCTCTACCACTATCTCTACAATATCTCTACCACTATCTCTTCAATACCTCTACCGCTATTTCTGCAATACGTCTACCGCTATCTCTGCAATACCTCTACCGCAATCTCTGCAATACCTCTACCGCTATCTCTGCAATACTTCTACAACTATCTCTGCAATACCTCTACCGCTATCTCTGCAATACCTCTACCGCTATCTCTGCAATACCTCTATTACTATCTCTGCCATACCTCTACCGCTATCTCTGCAAAGCTCTACCGCTAGTCCTTTCCGAGGCGCCTAGCAGTCCATTTTGACTGTAGGAATACTTCTACATGGTCAGAAAATGGTCAAGTATTACTATGCATGTTATTCATGATGTGGGTCACATGGTCTGTATTGACCAATGATTAGGCTGGGATTAACAAAGAATTTCTTGAAATCACCACTCTATCAGAAGGTCAAGCAAAAATAGGTGTTAGGGAAAATATTAAACAGTATTGTAATACCTCTACCGCTATCTCTGCAATACCTCAACTGCTATCTATGCAATAGCTCTACCGCTATCTCTGCAATACCTCTACAGCTATCTATGCAATAGCTCTACCACTATCTCTGCAATAGCTCTACCACTATCTCTGCAATAGCTCTATCGCTATCTCTGCAATACGTGTACCGCTATCTCTGCAATACCTCTACTGCTATCTCTGCAATATCTCTGCCGATATCTATGCAATAGCTCTACCGGTATCTATGCAATAGCTCTACCACTATCTCTGCAATAGCTCTACCGCTATCTCTGCAATATCTCTACCGCTATCTCTGCAATACCTCTACCGCTATCTCTGCAATACCTCTACCGCTATCTCTGCAACACCTCTACCGCTATCTCTGCAATACCTCTACCACTATCTCTGCAATAGCTCTACCACTATCTCTGTAATGCTCTACAGCTGTCTCTGCAATACCTCTACCGCTATCACTGCAATACCTCTACCGCTATCTCTGGAATACCTTTACTGCTATCTCTGCAAT